TCCTCATCTGTAGAATGGCACTATAATTCATTCTTCAGGGTGTAAGCAGATAATACATTTGAAAAACTTCTTTGAAAGGCTGCACAACACAATGTATTGTTAGTATTTCCATTTCAAAAAGTAGCTTCAGTTGCAAAGAGAGTCCCCACTGAGTTTTTAATTCTCCCTCCAATAGCAGTCCTGGGCTGTCAACAGCTTTTCAACAACCCTCCTAGTAAAGCAGGTGCACTTACAATCTTGCTATTTTGACCAAGTTGTTTTTTGTTTTTCAAGTAAAAAAGCCACAGAAGTCCTGGGATCACTTTTGCTGGCTTCGCTGTCCCCACCTGCTACCACCACTCAGCCCTCCCCCAACACCCCGACCTGTCAGCTCCTCCTGCCCCCTCCACTACACACAAGGAGATGTTTCCAAGGGCTACAGAGGTGCCCCAAGCAGAGCTGTGTAGGCAAGCTAGCTGGCCTTCAGGAAATCCCATCATGAATTCTGAGGTTCCCAGAATCACACTCCCACCCCAAGATCTGGTTTAACTCCCCAAACCTGACTGGGGCAAGTCGCTAGACTAAGGCCCTGGGAACCGGTGTGCAGGACAGAAACCACCTGAACAGGGAGGGGTGGGTGTCCAGGAGCGAGTGCTCATTGACTTTAAATTGCAGGCTGTGGCGGGTCCCACGGGAACAGAGCAGAGCTGGGAAGAGGCAGAGCACCTGCATGGTCAGGGCTCTGGCCACAAAGTCTGGGACATGGGGCCTGGTTACCAACTCCAGAGGCCTGAGTCACCCAGGGATGACACTCGCCCACTCCTGCTCAGAGTTCAGCCAGTCTCCCCACCAGGGTTGTCTTGATGCAGGTTCCATGTTGCATGTTGTGTCTATGTGACGAGACCTCCCTGGAGCACAATTCCCCAAAAGACAGTAAAAGCACAGACTCTCATGGGAACGGTGCCCTCAGGGGTTGCGCAAAGGGGGCAATCCTACTCCCACCAACAAGAGAATATAAACTTCAAAAGTATTTTGAGGAGAGTGACTGCTTAATGGGTTCAGCGTCTCCTTTGGGATGATAAAGATGTTTTGGAATTAGATAAAGGTGGTAGCTGCACAACATTTTGAATGCACTAAATGACACTGAATTGTTCACTTTAAGATGGTTAATTTTATTAAAAAAATTTTTTTTTAAAGATTGGCACCTGAGCTAACAACTGTTGCCAATCTTTTCTTCCTGCCTTTTCTCCCCAAGTCCCCCCAGTACATAGTTGTATATTTTAGTTGTGGGTCCTTCTAGTTTTGGGATGTGGGATGCCGCCTCAGCGTGGCCTGATGAGTGGTGCCATGTCCGTGCTGAGGATCCGAACCGGCGAAACCCGGGCCACCGAAGTGGAGTGCAAGAACTTAACCACTTGGCCACACGGCTGGCCCCTAAAATGTTTAATTTTATATGTGAATTACATCTCAATTAAAAAAACATTTTAAAGTGTTTTGAGGCACTTGAAGGTAAAGTCCTAATTGCTTTGAAAGATTTCCCACAAGTCAGTCCTCGTAACAATGTCACCTCACTCCCCAGCTGACTATATTCCAACTGGAAGAACTAGGTTGCCTTTGAAGCCCCCCTTCCAGACCTGAGCTGAAGAGGAAGGAAAATGTTCAGACATATCCAAGGCTCTTGGCAGCACTTGTCAGAAAGGGGAGGGAAAGTTAGCATCAAGTCCTTCTGAAGGCCCACCCCATCCTGGGAATCCAGATATAGGTCTGCAATTCTGTGAAAATCCACCTTGTTGCTTTATCTAGCCATCCATTTATTCATGCATTCATTTATTCATCAGAGGAATATTCACTGAGCCTCTACTATGTGCTGGCCACTGGAAATTAAGATTAGACCACTACCCGCAAGAAGCTCATAGTCCAGTGGGAAGACTAAAGTGGAAACAACCGTTAACAGAGACATGCATGGGGTATAAGGATGACCTGAGGAGGGGCACCTAAGGGATGGAGGGTTGAGGTAGGGGTGCTCGAGAAGGCTTCCTGGAGAAGGGATGTCAGAGCTAGGTCTTTAAGGCTGCTGGTGGGAACATGTCCAGGCAAGCCTGACCTGCAGCCAGCCTAGGTCTGAGGGGAGTAGGATGGGGAGAGCAGCTCACCGAACCCAGGGTTTATAGAATCTTCTAGGGCTCTGAAGAGGCCTGGCTCAGGTGCCAGAAGGGAGAGCTGCCTCCTCTGCAGGAGTGCCTTGTTTTGGGAGTTCCTCCAACCCCATCTGCTTAATGAAGGGAGGGATGTGTGAGGTGTTAACCAAGTCTTTACAGCCAGAGCCAGGGGGAAGGGATCCCACCCTCCACCTCACAGGATGAACCAAGACCCTTCGCCTTGGCTCCACAGAGGGACCCCTTCTAGGTCCAAAGGTTCTGTTGGCAGACAATGGTATGCGGCTTTGCCCCATCCTCCACAGAGATGAAGGGCGTCAGCTGGGAGGCCCCCTCTCCCTCCAGGCCTCAGCCAGGCCTCCTTGCAGGTGGTTGCTTACCCCTAGCCCATTCCCTCCTACTCTGGGAAAAGCCTCCAGAGGTAAAACTGCAAGTCCTTTTATCATCACTTTTTAAAAACACGAGACAACATCTTTAACAGATTTCTTTTGAAAAGAAACAAAATTACTCAGTTCTCATTAACACAGCCCTTCCCATTTGGGAAAAGCTGTTTTATTAACAGAATGAGGCAGTGAATGGAAAAAGGTGCTGAGCACACTGCTTCCCTGAAGGTATGTATTGAATGAATGAAAGATTCCTAGGAAACTGACCATTCCCAACTGGCTGGGGATTCTTTTGCTTATGAATATCCACTTCTTTAAAAATCTCTATTTTTCTTAGATTAGTGTTCCACATTTTTCTGAAACATTTCCTTCTTTTTTTGCCAAAAAAGAGAGGGAGAGAAAAAAAGAAGAAAAACACCCTAAGTCTTAGATGCCCCCAGACCCAGTCAGCCTGGTGGGGAGTGAAGGGTCCTCTGATGGTAATTCCCTGATCTCTCCTGGGACAGAAAGCCAAACCCACACAGATCACCCCTCCTCTTTTCTTCCCACGTCAGTAAAGGGTGATTTCAAGAGGATGTCATCTACCCGCAGCCCTCCAAACCCTGGGCCTAACTGTCTTGACCTGTTGTCTTTAAGGCTCCCAGTAAGTGACTGAAGCTTGGAGGATAGGAAGGGCCAGTGTTTAGGCCTTGAAAGCCCCAGCAGCTAAGAGACTATTCTTTTGAGGAAGGTTAGCCCTGAGCTAATATCTGCCACTAATCCTCATCTTTTTGCTGAGGAAGACTGGCCCTGAGCTAACATCCGTGCCCATGTTCCCCTGCTTTCTATGTGGGACGCCTGCCACAGCATGGCTTGACAGTGTGTAGGTCTGCACCCGGGATCCCAACTGGCGAACCCCGGGCTGCCAAAGCAGAATGTGTGATCTTAAATGCTACGCCACCAGGCTGGCCCCAAAAAGACTATTCTGTTTTGCAGTAGTCTTTAAGATATCTCCTAATGAGTCCCCTAATTTATTTTTTTATCCATAAATTTGTCTCCGGGGTTTGTTTTCCTTATACGGGAAATGGGGATGGGGTGCAGGGCTTCAGTTCCAGTCCTTTTTGGTTCTAGGTCTTGGTTTGTCCGGATGGCCCACGGGTCAGCTTCTTTTTAAAAAATGGGGATGGGGATGGCAGTGGCTTGACCTCTCTGGGAAGTGTCATCTGTCACGCGCAAGTCTGCCCCCAGGCGAGGCCCGCCTATCGGATCTGGTTCTGCTAGTGCCCGCCCGGGGCGGGAGCGGCTGATGTAAGTTTGGTTCCCTCTTCCATCAGGATCCCCGTGTCCCAAATTGATAAACCTTTAAAGAAATAAAGGTCGAGTTCGTCCAAACCTCCTCCCACCCTCAGCAGTTACTGTCTCAGAACACTGCCGTCAGGCCAGATTTCCTGTGGCCCCGCCTGAATGACGAAACAGGGGGTGGCCATTACACTCTCGGGCTTTTCCGGAGACCTAGGTCCTCCGTCCTGATGCAACTCTCCGGTTCTTTTACACAAAGCGCTTTTGAGAGAGGGGTGCTAGGACCCGGCGGACGCCCAGCGGCTCGGGGCCGCTGCGGGCGGGGGAGGCACCGCTGCGCCGTGGACAGTCTGTTCGGCCCGCGGGCGGGTCAGTGTGTCCCTCTGATATGGGTGCCATTTCTCAGCCCCACGACTAGGCGCTAGGAACCCAAGCCCATCAACACTCCCCTAAGCAACCTCCCCAGACCCTCTCCTCGGGAGCAGTTGTGGGGTGGGAGCGGACACGGTTGGCGGGCCAGGCTCCAGTGGGGGGCGCGGACCTCATTAACCCATCCCCTGGGGCTGTAGAGTAACGGGAGGGTGTACAAGTGGGGCCACGGGAAAGGCGGAGCTCGGTGCCTGGGGCTGCCCAGTCTTTGGACCCCACTCCCATATCCCGACCTTCGTAAGGCAGGGTTAGCGTGGGATACGTGCGCGAGGGCTGGCCTGGTTAACGACTGCTCCCCGCTCCGCCGTCCCACGGGCATCCACCCGTGCGCCCAGTTGTGCCCGTAGCTCGCAAGCTCCCAGACGCTGGGGGCAACCATTTTCCCTGCCCGCCGCCCCCTCAAGTTCCCCTGCCTCTCCCAACACGCGGTCAGGGGCTGCCCCCTCCCCCACCAACACGACCCTATAATAAACAAGTCTTTCCTTGATCCTCCCCTGCCGCGAGCGCCCTCGGGGACCTTGGCAGCTGCAGCCGCCCGAGGATCTCTTCCAGAAAGGGGGCGTGGCCGCGGCTCCAGGTTCGGCCCGGAGCGTTCCGGGGCTTTACGGGGGCGGGGCCAGACCGCTGTCACCGGGCAGGAGAGAACGTTGCGAACGTGCGCCGGAAGCCCATTGGCCGAGGCGGGCCACACTCCCGGGTCTGGATTGGGCCGCTGCGCCAAGGGGGCGTGGCTTCCCGCGCTAGTCCTTATAGGCCTCTCAGCGCTGGTGCCAGGGACCGCCGCAGGCCGAGGGGGAGGCGCGGGTGGGTAGAAGGGACAGGTCTGGGCAGCGCTCGGGGTTTGGCACCAGTTCGCGCATCCATTCAAGCGGCAGTACGCACTGTCCCAGCAGTTCCCGCTGACCGCGCTAGCTGGTGAGTGTCCCTTGTGTGTGTGCTGATCCCTGCGCAGGGAGGCCTCAGCCGTGCGAGTCCTAGCGCTCGAAGTCTGGTCCAGCCCCCAGACTGACGCCTCGTCCGTGCCTCTCTTGTCTTACAGCGTCTTCGGCGCTCCCACCTCCTGAGCTCATCTGCAAACGTTCTGGCGTCCGTCCTCACCATGCCTAGCCTTTGGGATCGCTTCTCTTCGTCGTCCTCCTCTTCGTCCTCGTCCTTGTCCCGAACTCCCACCCCAGATCAGCCGCCGCGCTCAGCCTGGGGGTCGGCGGCCCGAGAAGAGGGGCTCGGCCGCTGCGCGAGCCTGGAGAGCTCGGACTGCGAGTCCCTGGACAGCAGCAACAGTGGCTTTGGGCCGGAGGAAGGTAAGCGGTGGGCGGGGGCCAGTCGCGACTCGAGGAGCCGGGGAGGTGAGAACGCGCCGCGCTAGAAGGAGGAAAAGCCACCTTGGCCTCCTATTCCATCAGAACCCAGATTGCAGTGGGGGAGGGGGATTGGAGTATAGGGTACGAGTGTGGGGCGGAAACAGGCACGGAGTCGGAAAGAGTGCTGGTTTCTTAGCGAAACAGCACCTCCCCCTTTTGGATCTGCTCTTACACCCCTCCTCTGTGTGCTCTCCCTTCCAGACTCGGCATACCTGGATGGGGTGTCCCTGCCCGACTTCGAGTTGCTCAGTGACCCGGAGGATGAGCACCTGTGTGCCAACCTGATGCAGTTGCTGCGGGAGAGCCTGGCCCAGGCACGGCTGGGCTCGCGGCGCCCGGCTCGCCTGCTAATGCCTGGCCAGCTGGTGAGCCAGGTGGGCAAAGAACTATTGCGCCTGGCCTACAGCGAACCGTGCGGCCTGCGGGGGGCGCTGCTGGACGTCTGCGTGGAGCAGGGCAAGAACTGCCACAGCGTCGGCCAGCTGGCCCTCGACCCCAGCCTGGTGCCCACCTTCCAGCTGACCCTCGTGCTGCGCCTGGACTCACGCCTCTGGCCCAAAATCCAGGGGCTGTTTAGCTCCACCAACTCTCCCTTCATTCCTGGCTTCAGCCAGTCCCTGACGCTGAGCACGGGCTTCCGAGTCATCAAGAAGAAGTTGTACAGCTCTGAGCAGCTGCTCATTGAGGAGTGTTGAACTTGGGCCTGGGGGGCTGACACTGCCCCCACGGCAGAGACAGCTGAACTTTTGGGATGTACATCGGCAGGCAGGAGCTGAGGGACTGATGGCTATCGTTAGAAAACTGACAACCACCTGAGGGGAGGAACCTCTAGGTGCGGGGAGCATAGTGTTTCCGAGGACGCTCACTGAGGCGTGTGCGGACGGCTCCCGTTGAGGGCACGTGCCCCTCAGCACTGTAGCATGAAACAAAGGCTCGGGGCCTGCCAGGCTTCTGGCTGGATGTGTATGTAGCATGTACCTTATTATTTTTATTATTACTAAGAGTTAAGACAACAGTGATGTGACAGCCAGGAGAGCAGCTGGGCTGCACTGGCCTCTGCAGAAGGGGTGTGCTCAGGGGAGCTGGTCCTGGTGGGAGGGGGGAGGTCATGGAGGTGATTTGTGTTTGTGGTCTGAAGGGGCCAAAGGTGTTTGTTCCTTGTTTTTGTATCTTTTGTCTTTTTGATCAGAGCTCCACTACTGACCTGTTCTAGGCAGCTATCTTACAGACGCATGAATGTGAGAGGAGGAAGGGGCGGGTGTTGGGATCACTTGGGGATCTTTGACACTCAAAGAAAAAATACACCCAGGAGCTGCGTGTGGCCCATCCCCTGCTGTGTTCTGAAGAGTTGAGTCTGAGGGGATAGAGCCTTGGGGTGGGGGCTGGAACCCCACCCCCAGAGGAGTGCCATCTGGGTCTTCCATCTAGAACTGTTTACATGAAGATACTCGCTGTTCATGAATACACTTGATGTTCAAGTATTAAGACCTATGCAATATTTTTTACTTTTCTAATAAAAAAACATGTTTGTTAAACAGTTGGTTGTCTCTCATCAGTGCCATGAAATAAAAGGGAGGAGGGGGATGGGTGCTGGTAAAAGGCAGGTTTCACTGGACTTGCATCTACCTGTGTGTTGTTTCTCTGTCCCTTTCTGGGGCTGCCTGCCAGCCTGGTAATGGAGGTATGTGGACTGTGTGCCATCTGCCAAAACCCTGGGTCCCTTGGCTCTATGCTGGCTGAGGCTGCCAGGGGAAAGCGCTAGAAAGTGCTGGAAGGTGAAGGGTGAGTCAGACCTCCCGCAGAGCCAGAGTCTCAGGGAGAGCTCACCTGGCTGTCCTGGGTAGAAGGGCCGTGTATAAGGGCCCCCTGAGCCTGAGGTCTGCATAGGTACTAAAGGGACTGCAAAAGACTTTTTTTCTTTCTGTGAAAAAAGTCACAGTTGTATTTGTTCTATAGTCATGAAAATTACAAATTCTATCTCTAGATACAAAAAGGTTAGGGAGCAGGACCAAAAAGGTTAGGGAGTTAGGAAATGGAGTTTGAAAAAGATGACTTAGTTCAAGCCTCTTACTGGACAAGGAACCTAGGGTTCAGAGAAGGGCATGACCTGCCACTGGGAGGTGTGGCCCAGGCAGCTGCAGAATGCACCAGGCACATGGAGGTCAAAGAAGGAAGGAGAGTGGTGAGGGCTTAGAGAGCAAGGGGACTGCAGGCCTGTCTTCATGAATCCCTGGGGTGAACTGGACTCATCAGGCTCTGGGCCCCGGTTTCCTTATCAGTGAAATCGGGGTTGGCGCAAATGAGGGCCAAGGCCCTTCCCACTCCTCCCTCCCTGTGACAGTGGGGCGGTCCTCCCACACTGGCCTCTGGAGGGTTGTTATCACCTCTCTTCCTGGTCCCAGACAGGCCTTGTTTGCCCAAGTGTGAAACCGCAGTTCTTCCACTTGCGTGTGTAGTCAAATCTCTTGGGGGCTCCGATTAATGCATAGATCCCTTGGCCCTGGGTGAAGATTGTGACTAAGTGTGTCTGAGGTAGGGCCCCAGGAATCTGCATTTTCACCAGAGATTCTCACACAGGGTCCTCAACTTTGGGATATTTAGAAGACTCTCATCTCTTTGGTAGAACTGCTTTGTTCCCCAAAATAAATGAACTTGGGTTAGAACTGGATTTGAACATGGTGATAACAAATAAGAAGGTGCCTGGAGCAGTCTCAGGAGAGCCCTCATATTCATTTTCCTGGTACATCCTCCTAACAGCCACCCTGTGAGGGGTGGCAGGTGGGACAGGAGCTGTAATGCTTCACAGACTAGGCAACAGAGGCCCAGCCCTCGAACACCTGTCTTCTTCTGACCATGGCTGCCCCTGTCCACTCTCAGCCCCTCAGGATGGGAGCCGGGAGTGAAGCAGGCTCAGCACTTGGGCGGTGTCTGAGGGGCACTTTCCAGGACTAGAGATCCATGCCTATGTTCATGTCTGTGCTTCCCTGGTGCCAAAAGAGGGGCAAGGAAAGCGACAGTGTCTAGCTCCAGACCAGAGAGTTTTCTCGGTACTTGGAGGCAAAAGCTGGATGAGGTGGTAAGCCCTAACCCTTCTCCATGAACAGGAGGCAGCAAGCACACTCGGCTCCTTTTAGTTTTCCTTTTTCTCCCAAAGCCCCTCGGTACATAGTTCTGTATTTTTAGTTGTGGGTCCTTCTAGTTGTGGCATGTGGGACGTCACCTCAGCGTGGCCTGATGAGCAGTGCCATGTCTGCCCCCAGGATTCGAACTAGCAAAACCCTGGGCTGCTGAAACAGAGTGCATGAACTTAACCACTCAGCCACAAGGCCGGCCCCTACTGTATGCCTTTCAAAATCTTCGATATTGGGCCCTATTCACCCTACTCAGGCTGACTGCCCACTACTCCTTACCACTCCTCTTTTTTGGTACAAGTCAGTATGGCCTGCCCTCTTCTCTAGCCCCAGACTCTGCTGATTCCAGTGCTTTCTACCAGTGATGTGGTCCCTCTCTCTTACCTACAAACCCTGCCCTTCCTTTAAGGCCCAGAGCAAGTTGTAGCCCTTTTATAGCTGCCCTCTGCCTCCTCCTGCCTCATCCTTCACAATTGCAGTGTTGAAAATTTAGCAGTTTTCTAATCTCATTGTATGTTCTTTGTTTTGTATCCCAGTTCTGGGATACCCCTTGGGTCCCCTCAGGCCTGGCTGTCCTCCTCTTCTTTGGCTCGGACAACACAAAATTCCCCCACCAGCCTTAGACCCTCAAACTAAGGAGAGAGGAGGGCAGGGTAGAAACATTTAGTTGTTATTATGCCTGCCACCTAACGTGGAGGAATGTTAGAGGCTGCGGTCTGGGGAGGGAGGTAGTGTCCTTAGTGGTTAAGGCTACTGTGCATGAGAGTTAGTGAAAGCTGGGTTTGAATCCTGGCTCAGACATTTCTTAGTCGATGACCTTGAGCAAGTCACTTTACCTGTCTAAGCTTCAGTTTCCTCATCTGTAAAATGGGATACGGGTGAGGAAATTATGTATATCAAGACATAACTGAGGTCCAGCCTTGGCAGAGGAAGCCAGTGGCCGGGCAAGAGGTGGTGGCCTGAGCCGTGGCGGGGCTGGCTGCAGGGCAAGCGCCTGCAATAGGGACTTCCTTCCCTTCTGGTCCTACTTCCCTCTAACGCCTTTTCAAAAGTCACCATCTTAACAACAGTCATGTCAACATATTACCTTAATAAATTCTTTCTTTTTTTTTTTTCAAAGATTGGCACCTGAGCTAACAACTGTTGCCAATATTTTTTTTTTTTCTGCTTTATCTCCCCAAATCCCCCCCGTACATAGTTGTATATCTTAGTTGCAGGTCCTTCTAGTTGTGGCATGTGGGACACTGCCTCAACATGGCCTGACGAGCGTTGCCATGTCCGCACCCAGGATCTGAACCAGCGAAACCCTGGGCCACAGCAGCAGAGCACACGAACTTAACCACTCGGCCACGGGGCCAGCCCCTACCTTAATAAATTCTTATACAAAACGTCATTTGTGGGGAATATGCTCAGAGAGCTTCACTTCTAAGCTGTGTTCTTCTAAGCCTGGCACATATTAAGCCCCCTATATAAGGCTCCTTTAATTCTACCTCATGCTTCAGAAGGAAATGCAAAGGCACAGAGGGGCTCAGTGAGCGGGGCTGCAGGGCTAAGATGGGAAGTGTGGCCTCTTCCCTCCCGGGCCTTCCACTCAATCTCCTGGTTCTCAGGGTGTCCAGATCAGCCAGACAGTTTTCTTGGTATTTGGAGGCAAGAGCTGGATAAGGCGGTAAGCACTAACCCTTCTCCAAGACCAGGAGGCAGCAAGCACACTTGCTCCTTTTCTTGGGTGGCCAGACAGAAGCCAGAGGAAAGCTGCTGGAGAAGGCCAACTGCTGCTGGGGCAGCCCAGCAGAAGGCTGAGGAAACACAAGGCACAGAAACCAGGTTCAGTTAATAGATTATTACAGGACTCTGTAATTATCCTGGAAGGGGGTCTCTTTATGAAGGAATCACAAATTTGAAAACAGCCCATTAAACCCAGGCACATCCATGCAGGGGCCCAGCTGAGGAGTGTCCATCTCAATCCCAACCATGGCAGCTACATGGAAACACCTGTGGCCATGTGGTACTGATGGCTCTGAAGGCAGATACTGACGGGCTGTCACTTGATTACTGCATTCATTCATTCAACTTATATGACTTAGATATAATTAAAAGGGTCCAAGGCAGCTGCAAGAGAAAGCCAATTTAAGCAGGAACCCTTAAGAAGCCAATATTGAAATTCTCTCTCTCACACACACAAACACATTCGCATATAATCACACACATACTCACAAATAATCACATACATTTACAAGCAAAACTATGGGGCATAAGAGGAAGAGGAAATGGGCACATATTCAATTTTCCCTAGCTCTAACTTTTCAGGAAAGAATACCCAACGATATAGAATAACTAAAAGTATATAAGATGAAACTAATTAAACTGTATATTTAAAATTGGTGATTTTATTGAATGTAAATTATACCTTAATACCAGAAAAAAATTTTTTTAAAGACTATATTTTTCCCCTTTCTCCCAAAGCCCCCCTGGTACACAGTTGTGCCTGTGGTTTTTTTTTGTTTTTTGTTTTTTGCTTTTTCTCCCCAAATCTCCCCCAGTACATAGTCATACATTTTAGTTGTGGGTCCTTCTAGTTGTGGCATGTGGGATGCTGCCTCAGCATGGCTTGACGAGTGGTGCCATGTCTGCACCCAGGATTTGAACCGGCAAAACCCTGGGCCACCGAAGCACAGTGTGCGAACTTAACCACTCAGCCACAGGGCCGGCCCCAGAAAGTTTTTTAAAAAGTATATATACACAAAAGTTAACTCAAAGTGGATTATAGACCTATATATAGGAGCTAAACTATAAACCTCTTAGAACAAAATACAGGAGTGAATCTCCATGATGTTGGATTAGGCGATGATTTCTTACATATGACACCAAAAATACAAGTGATAAAAGAGATCACCAAGTTGGGCTTTATACAAATTAAAAACATTTGTGTTTCAAAAGACATAATCAAGAAAATAAAAAGAAAACCCACAGACTGGGAGAAAATATTTTGCAAATCATATGTATGATATGATAAGTGATTTGCATCTAGATTATATAAAGAATTCTTATAACTTAACTAAAAATGACCAAGGGGTCTGAATACACATTTCTCCAAAGAAGATGTACAAATGGCCAATAAGCCAGTCATGAAAAGATGTTTAACACTATTGATCATCAGGGAAATGTAAATCAGCAGTACAATGACATACCATTTCATGCCACCAGAATGGCTGTAATCAAAGAGACACAGAAGAACAAGTACTGGCAAGGATGTGGAGGAACTGGAATCCTCAGACACTGCTGGGGGGATTGTAAAATGGTGCAGACACTTTAGAAAACTGTTTGGCAGTTCTTCATAACATTAAACATAGAGTTACCATAGGACCCAGCAATTCCACTTCTAGGTATATATCTTAGAGGAACG